AGAAATCCACTGGTTCTGAGCGACAGCAATTTTTGCAAAGCATTTTGCATCAGGATGATGCTGAAGATGAAGAGGAAAACGAAGTACCGGACGACGAAACGGTTAACCAGATGATTGCACGAACAGAGGGCGAATTTGAGATATTCCAAAAATTAGATTTAGAGCGAAGAAGAGAAGAAGCTAAGCTAGGTCCAAACAGAAAGTCTCGGTTATTGGAAGAGGCTGAGCTACCCGATTGGTTAGTAAAAGATGACGATGAGGTTGAAAGGTGGACTTACGAGGAAGACGAGGATAAATATCTTGCACGAGGTTCGAGACAACGAAAGGAAGTTGATTATACCGATAGTTTAACTGAAAAAGAATGGCTCAAAGCGATCGACGATGATGGTGCTGAATATGAAGAAGAAGAAGAAGACGATAAGAAAAAGAAGAAAACGCGGAAACGAAAGAAAAAAGGCGAAGAAGATGACGAGCCTCTGCCAAAAAAACGAAGAGGCGCTGGGTCTTCGATTGATCCTAAAATGAAACGAGCTATGAAAAAGCTGCTTATGGTAGTTGTTAATTATACAGATAACACCGACGGTAGACTTCTTAGTGAACCATTTATGAAATTACCATCTAGAAGGGAATTACCAGATTATTACGAAATTATTAAAAAGCCATTGACTATTAACAAATTACTTCAAAAGATTGAAGAAGGAAAGGCACGTATAAATTATTGTTTTATCTTATAATAATTCGATAACTTTTATTTAAATGTATTTTACTATTTTTGCAGTACGGTGATTTTGACGATCTTGAAAAAGACTTTATGCAGCTCTGTAAAAATGCACAAATTTATAACGAAGAAGCTTCTCTCATACACGAAGATTCCATTGTACTGCAGTCCGTTTTTACAAATGCGCGACAACGCATCGAAGAGGAAGGTAATAATTCTGACATGGATGATAAAGGTATATTGCATTATTGTAATTTATTAAAAAAAGAATGGTACGGGTAATTTTATGTATATAAAATTCTTCTAAGCAGATGAAGATGGCTCGGATGTAGACTCTAGTGTGAGAATGAAAATCAAGTTGAAAGGAAGGAAAGGTGAAGGTAGAGGGGGTCGAAGAAAAAGAGTCACTAAAAAATATATATCAGACGACGATGATGATGCTGATGACAATTAAAGATAATTGTATGTGAATTTTTATAGTACGTAAGATAATATATAAGATATCGGTTAACTAGTTATTTTAAATTGATTCGCTTCTCTTGTATGCAATTATTACTATTGTGTAGTGAAATTTTAGAAGAATGTAACTAAGTATTATAACTTGATTATAGTATGATTCTACTATTATCGTTCAAGTTATAGTAAATTTCAAGGAATTGTTGCTACTGAAATCTGCAACTTAGAGACTACATACATTAAATTGAATTCTATAGATTTGATATACAATGGCACGAGGTAGGATAGCTAATAGATCACTTTTTTATTTAAAACAAGCGTAAATGGAACTTGTACAATGTGCAGTAAGATTTCGCGTTAAGTATGAGTAAATAATTTTATTTGGCTTCTAAAGTAAACTATACATATATTAAATTTGAACACATTTCTTTCCCTCGTCGAATTTCGTACTCGTAAATGAAACTATATAAATGTTCCGTAACATTTGAAGGTACGTCGAGAAATAATAAAATTCAAATAAAAACCTTGATGACATTTACGTGTAAAAGATTTATTTAATATTGATTGACAAATATATAAGCATGTATTAATTCATAATATACTGCAGTTGAAAATTTATCTTTCAATGCACCTCGACATAGATTAGAAATGTGCATTAATTATTTTATTTTTCGAGATTTATGCACAAGTTGATATTTCCAATATTTGCAGGTAAAAATATCTTATTTTTTAGAATACAATGTTTCGTCGATGAGTATTTAATAAATAGTAAAATAGAGTTCACATAGTTTTCTATATTGTGAGAAGTCTATTTAATTTACACTGTACAATGACTTGAACTGTTACGCGCGCGCGCACACATACACACAATTGTTTCACAAATTATTCCGATTTCTGCCTCTTAAGTTGATTTGAAACTAAGTATATTATTTGCTGGAACTTAGTTTCACAATATAGAAAAGTATCTTCATAATTTTCAAAATTTTTTCTGTAATGTATAAAATTTTATTTATTAACAATATAACATTTAATTTTAATCATGTTGGTTTCCAATATCGAAAATTAAATTATATAATAAAGTGTACATGGATAATTGCATATAATTGTAGGATAGAAAATTTTATATGATATTGACCAATGTAAGTATGTACATATATACAATTACTTTTTAATCCATTAAAACTTCATCAAATGTATTAAGCTTAAATGAAAAGAGTTCAACACTATTATAAATTAATCTATTTTTTCACGAACAATATCCAACAGTTTAAGAAATAATTGTCACATGCAATTTGAAATATATATTGCGCATGTACGAAAATAAATTGCAAAAAAATTTTCTTTAATTAAAAAGTATACAAATTTAAATATAATATTAACAATAAGGTTATACCTTGGACGGGATTTCTAAAATTCGAATTTCTAGACTACTATGTATTTCGTGAAACCGAAAAATTGTTCACCCGAAGAAGAACGCGATTGTAAAGATTATTCGTAATTCTGTTGTCAAGAATATTAATGTCGTGTTTCATAGGGAAATTGTCGATTATCCTGTTCTGTTGGCACTCGTGAGTGAATAGTGGAAGGTAATGTTGGCGGGGAAGGATTAACAAACGGCGTGTGATAATCATAACGATAATAAGCGAACGATTCCCATCGGGGTAAATGTTGAACATCAAAGGAAGAAGTCGTAGTAACTGCTGCAGTATTAGCGTAATAACTCCTTTCAGGTACGTTTGGAACATAACTATATTGTGGTTCCAAAAGACTCTGCAAATGTCTTATATATGTAATCGCATGTCTGAGTGATTCGATCTTTGAAAGTTTCTTGCCTGGTGGTTTACAAATCGGAAGCTTCGATCGTAACAGCTCGAAGGCACGATTCATATCACGCATTCTCGTTCGTTCGCGATCACAGGCTGATTTCTTATAATCTAAAGATCAAATAATAATTTATTTAATAGCAAATATATCAGAATTTTTCTAAATTTTTAAAAATTCATCATTTTTATTTAAGCTGTATTATAAAATCTGGTTATAACTTCGAAAATGAACCTTTTGCGCTCCGTTGACAGCTTACTTCGTTATTATCGCCATAATACTGATTCACATTGCATGTTATATATCCCATATTGGTTACTATATATTTTAACAAAATAATTTTTTTGTTTTATGGAGAATATATAATAGAACAATACAAGAATTAGGTTAAAGCCAACCAAATTGGTATTTGGTGTGCAAACAGGAAATATAGTATTCAAAAATGACAAGAAAACATATGAATTACACGTTCGTAAAATTTTTAATCTTACATTGCATGATAGTTTCTATTATAAACGTACAAAACATTAAAGAGTATTGAAGATATTAACTTTTGTTAATAAACTGCTTTACGTAAAAGTTACTAAATTTTAAAAGTAAAATTCCACTCTTATATAATGTCTTGGCAATGAGTAGAATTTTCCCGCCAAATTATAAATTTATAGATATTATTTACTATCATTCTTACCTTTCTCAGTTTGAGACGGTTCACATTGTACCGATTTAATGCTGGTCTCGTGAAGAATTTCTAAGTGCGGATGAGTATTAATTACTTCTGGTTCAGGAACTCTTATCACGAATACTCGATCATTATTTTGTTGACAATCTTCGAAGTTTCCATCCTTCCATGTTCTTCTGATGGATTGCCGCCGAGGTATATTTGAATTTTCTGTAAATGACTATTCTATAACATTTTTAAGAACTTTTTCAAAAATTTATCACTCTAAATATATTATGAAACTTTACCAAGTCCTATAATTTTTTTGATAGCATTTTGCGTTGTGCATGTGCATTATCTTTTCTTTTCAATTTTTCTTAACAAGACACTTATCGATATCGTTTAAAAATATACCTGGCCCGTTTCTTATTAACTGATCCTGCACATATTGACTGTCAATGGGTAACTTGGATGGCGAACCTTCTTTGTGGCTTAATATTTCTTGTTGTTGTTGTTGTTTAGAATTTTTATCCAAATCTAACAATATCGGTGAATGAGCGTATTCTTCGTTAGTGCTGTCGTTTTCTGACTGGAAAAAAAAGGTATGCATTTACAAATTTTTCTTGTCTTTTCCCCCCACTACTGTATAGGTTTGTAAAACTAAAACACTATACTTTAAACGCGACTTTTATTTCGCGGTTCGTGACAAGTGTACCGGTAGAGGTAGGTAACTGTAATCTCTTCGATATTTCTGCAAATAATAACTCTAACGATAATTAGTTCAGATGAATGTTGCATGGTTTAAAGGGGGCCATATAATGCACTATTCGATTTTTTTCTTATCATTTGTATGTTTCGAGATTTCAAGGTCATCTCCTCAATTTTTTAAATGAAAATCAAATTTCTTTTCGTAACGAAAGTTATGGATAACACTAAAATAAACAATAATTAAATACCAGTGAAGAGCAAAGACACTCGTTTCGGTGATTTTTTATTCACAAGAATTTTTTTTTAATTGAACACAATATGTGTTTTTGGAAGATTGTAGCACAACCAAATTAAATATTAAAAATTGTTTACCCCA